AGATAATGCAAATATGGGGAAAATGTTTCACCAGTATTGTTCTATTTTATAAAAAGGCTAAGAAATGTCTTTGGGAGAAGTGGATGAATATTTACAAAAACAGAATTTAGATAATTTTTATAAAATTATTTATCTTTGGTATCATTTATCATTGGTATCTGATATCAGAGAAATTACCTAGTATATATAAATGGATTCCAAAAGTATGTTGAAAATGTGAATAACACGAAGGGACATTGTATCATGCTTGGTAACATATTTTGGATGCAAATACACCGATACAGAGAATTTTAAAAATGAATATTCAATTGAAGCCAGAGCTTTTCTTTTTAGGAGTAATAGATACACAGTTAGAAAAAAAAAGTCATGGAAGATTATTTCATGATTATTATGGTGAGGTTATTACGGTATATACACAAAGATGGAAAGATTCAGCACTGCCAACCATGGGGCAATGGTTGGTGAAACTGACTTAAATTTCTCCATGGCTAAATTTACTACTTTGATCAGAGAAAGATCGTGATTGACATTCATCAATGACTGAAACTCCTGATGGACTTTTTGCATAAAAAAGAAAATTATTTTATGACTTTTGATGATTAACTTCATTGGTGGAGTTATAGAAAGAAGGGAATTATAATATAATCTTAGACATAGATATTTTATTAGAACTGTATATATAACTCTGGGGAGGAAGATCAGAAGTTTTGACTTCATATTTTTTTTTTATGTTTTCTGCTCTTTTCTTTTCATTTCTTTTTTTCTACTTCCTTTTTCTTTGTCTCTTCTATTACTTTTTTCTCTTTCACATTTACTTATCTTTTTCTTTTAATGTACTTCTTGCATTTGTAATTTTTTAAAATAAAAACTATTTAAAAAAAACCATTTTAATTTTTTTTTTAAAAAAAGAAAAGGCTGTTAAGATAAATAATAAATGGTGACCTGGTTTGTCTTTTTTTTTTTTTTCATTTTTCATTTATTTATTTATTTATTGAAAAACAGTGCCTTGTCAGGATAACATTTACAAATAATGTAAAACCAAAAAAAAAGTAATAGTAAATCTTAACACACAAACTAATAATGATCATAATAATATAGTACCAGTAATTATAATAGTATAAATTTCTTCCTAAATTAGCTTATTTACATTTTTATCCCTTACTATATAGTCTTATATATCTTTGTTTTCCATTTAACAATTATTAACATTCATATTCTTACTTTCTCTCATTTCTACCTCTTGTCTCTATCCATTCGTAAAATTTATTCCATGTCCGATAATATTCTGAGTCTTCTTTATCTTTAATTTTTAAAGTTGACCTGATTTATCTTATGCTTCACTGTATAAACCCATGGTTTATGTTGATTTTTTTTCAGCAATAGCAATTTCACATTTTTAAAAATACCACAGACTTGTTTTTAAAAAATCTGTTTAGTTTTCCTTGTTTTATGGTCACAAACCTGATAGCTAACAATGGGAAAAGTATACAGTAATATAAATATGTTTGGAATTTAGACAAGAAATGATCAGAAAGATTCAGCGTGAAGGATTGTGGGATGATATTTCTCTATTTAAGAAAAAAAAACTTTTTATCAAACAGAATTACAGTACTTTGTGCCCATCTCTTTACAATCCTGCCAACAACATTACGAATGAATATAGTGCAATTTTAATAGGATGGAGGAGGTTTATGGATTATCTTCAGGGTCAATTCAGATGACTTACTGGAATAGAGTTCCAATGGTATTTTTTCTTGTTTTTCACTTCTTTCTCTCTCTCCCTCTTTTTTTTTTTTTAAATCCTCTATCAATTGATGCTTTGTAATTAGATGATATATTGTTCAGAGGTGCGGTGGCTTTGCAATTAAGAAACAATGTTTTTCGACTGGAAGGTTGGCAGTTTGAGACTCAAACCCCATGTGACAGGATAAGCTCCTGTTCCTGCCCCAGCTCCTGCCAACCTAGCAATTTGCATTTGAAAGCATGCAAATAATTAAATAGGTTTCATTTCAGTGGAAGGTAACAGCGTTCTGTGTGCCCCAGCTTATAGTCATGCTGACCACAAGACCATGGAAGCGTCTTCGGACAATGCTGGCTCCCTCAGCTTGGAAATGGAGATAAGCACACACCAGGGGTGGGTTCTACTTACCTTTACCACCGGTTCGCAACATGAACGCGTGCGCGAGCAAAGCTTGCACGCGCAACTTGCTTCTGCACATGTGCAGATCACTGATGATGACATCTGGGGTGGTGGATGGGGCCTCCCGCCGGTTTTACTATCACTTCTTGCAAACCGGTCCGAACCGGGGGCAACCCACCACTGGCACACACCCACACCGAGTAGAATATAACTGGACAGGGAACTCTTTACCTTTACTTTTTAAAAGTATATTGTTCAGTTTTCTTTCACTCAGTATTGTAATATTACTGGTCCTATGGCATTTGGCCAAGTGTTAAGTGATCCGACCTCTAGGAAATATAGTAGTATATTGATTAGTGTCTTCAGCTGTCCATTTGTCTTGCTATTTTGATATGTATTTTTTATGATTGCTTTTTTTATATATTTCTGCCTAGAGATATCCTGAATTGGGTGATTAGATAAGCTGAAGAAAAAAATATGATATAAAAGTTATCACTAGGCTTAGACTCAGACCGTAACAACAGAAAAATGACATTCCTTTACAACCTAGCTCGTATCTATTTCCACCTTTCTCCACATTATAACCTGATATATTATAGATGATTCAGCTTTGCTGTACATCAGGAAAACTACTCTCTAGTCTGGGAGAAGTGGATGCAACCCTTGTTCCTTGCTTGCCCTTGTCCAAGAATAATATTCTGCTACTGATCTTGTGGGCATGAAATTCACCATCTGTAAAAAGCCCTGGTAGAATATTTATGAGAAATTAATTCAGCCAGTGGGAAAACATTTCAGTCTCCCACAGTGCTCTGGACTAAATCAGATGTACAGACCTTGCTATTCACACATTTTCTAGCTTGGCTAAAAAAGAGATAGCATTATTGCTACTAGTTATTTTAGAGTGAAGTGAAATAGAAGCCTGATTCTCCCACCTCCATTTTGCCTCCCCACAAGCCTAACAAATAACTCGAATCTAAGAAAATACACAGAAGTAACATTTTCTCATTTTATTTCCCTGGCTATTTCTCTTCTACACTAAACCTTTTAGAATGGTGCTTTTGAATGATTTGGAATAAGAAGAAAAGGGTGCCTCTCCAGACTATAGGTTACGGGTGTCAAACTCGATCACGTCATGTGATGTATCGTGATATATCATGGCATTTTTTGCCTTTGCAGAGCCGGGATGGGCGTGGCCTGCAGTTTGACATCAATTTGACAGGCATGCTATAGGTAGTCATCAACTTACAACACTTCGCTTCGTGACCATTCAAAGTTGCAATGGCACGGAAAAAAGTGACTTATGGCTATTTTTCACACTTATGACCATCGCAGTATCCCATCGTCATGTCATTTACATTCAAATGCTTGCTAACTGGTTCATATTTATGATGGTTGCAGTGTCCCGGGATCATGTGATCACCTTTTGTGACCTTCCGATGAGGAAAGTCAATGGGGACACCAGATTCCCTTAACAACCATGTTACTACTTTAACAATGGCAGTGATTCACTTACCAACTGTGGCAAGAAAAGTCGTAAAACGGGGCAAAACTCACTTAACACATTCTTCACTTAGCAACATAAATTTTGGGCTCAGTTGTGGTCGTAAGTCGAGGTCTACCCGTATTTGAGGCAGGAGAGGTTGTAAAAGGAAGAGTGGCGAGAGGCTTCACTTCTATTTTCCTTTATTACCTTAGGATCCCAGCTAATAATTCCTTTATAATGTTGACTATACTTTGCCAAACCCAAAGATGACAAAACTTCAATTTTATTTTCTTGGATAAGCTCTTCTTATTATTCATATGCCTGAAGAGACATCTAATTGCACACTCAGCCATTCTGAAAAATATATTTAACAGTAAATCATGGCTTTATTACCTCTAGGGCAGTCTACTGCAATGATCTTTACATGGGGGCTGTCTTTCACAACTATGCAAAAAGTGCAATGGGTATAAAATACTGTTGCTTGCCTGCTTGTGGGGGAGAATTACTGCAGCCAGATGACACCAGCTTGTGGGTGCTGCATTGGCTTTTGAATATTCAAAATGCTAGTTGTAACTCCCCCCACCCTTCATTCAATTCTGGCCAATTTTCAGAGGCTGCTAGGACCAGTCCTTGCAGTTTTGTTAGCAAAGTTTTTCAGAAGTCCTAGAACTGAGAGAGATTGTGATGATCTAGGATGGAGACGGTCTCCATACGTGAAGTTGCTGAAGAAAATGAAGGAAGCAATCTTTCATACTGTTACTCCATTTCTGTAGAATAAACTCCCCCACCCTTGAAACTTGGATGATTCCCATTCCAATTGCATTTTGGAAAGTTTAGAGACAAGCTTGGGGATTACCTTTCAGGACAGAATTACACTTTTGATTTCTAGAAGTGTTACCTCTGGATTGGTTTTTGGTATATTATGTTATGGGTCATTTTTATGATTTGGTGGAGTAAACCATGGGGAGTTGTTTTAAAATATGGCAAAGTATAAAAACTGTCAAATACATAAATAAATCCCTTGATGCCGAAATAATGACATGCAAGCAATTGTATTACCATGCAAATGCTATTATATACTTCGATCTAAGTGTCTGATGCTCTTATGTAAATGGTAGCATTTATATAATGATGTTATGATGCAGGTGTTACAATTTTCCTCCCATGGATGCTGCTGACCTTAGATTTCATGCAATTAGTACCTAAAGAAGTATACCTGAACACACACACACACAACACACACACTGAGGGAGAGGGAGAAGGAGAGGGAGAGGGAGAAAGAGAGCATTCTCACATATACTGTGATATTTTTTTAGTGATTTGGAACAAAAGGTGGTTAAGAAAGCACATTAATTTTATTTTATTATTTATTTACAGATTATTTTGCTCAATCTGCTAAAATGTGTGCTAATATTCTACCTTGTGTATTACATAGTCCTGTGCTTTTGTTTTACAGCATTCAGGTAAGAAGACTTTAAGTACCTTTTTAAATGCAAAAATGTTTGAAATTATGCGAGGGGATTGACTTTGGCTTCATTTGTTTTGAATAGAACATTTAGACATATATGCATCAGTGGTGGGTTTCAAATATTTTTACTACCAGTTCTGTGGGTGTGGCTTGGTGGGCATGGCATGGCTTGGTGAGGGTGGCTTGGTGGGCGTGGCAGGGGAAGGATACTGTAAAATCTCCATTCCTTCCCCACTCCAGGGGAAGGTTACTGCAAAATCCCCATTTCTTCCCGGTCAGCTGGGACTCAGGAGGCAGAGAATAGATGGGGGCAGGGCCAGTCAGAGATGGTATTTACCGGTTCTCCAACTGGTCGGAACCTGTTGAAACCCACCTCTGATATGCATATATGTATATTTATGCTTAGTAATTGAATTTGGTATGAAAAAGATGTTCGGTAAGCTACATTCAATAATGCAATGTGACCTTATCTAATATTTGTTATCCAGCATATATGAGAGTCTCTATATTTGGGAAGACATGTGTAGAAGAAAAATGTTTTGTTCAGATATTCCTGAAGGACTTTGTTGACATGCTGCATATATTCACAGAATTCAAATGTTGGATGGATTTGCACCTTTTGATTTTAAGACAAAGCCTTCATGGTTTAACCCCTATTATTTAGGTAAGTTTTCTTCTTTTCTATCTGTGATCTTGAAACAACTAAAAGGCCATTTTCTATCAAAATGCTTCAAGCAGTTGATTTAAATTTAAATGCAAACACTTCTTAGACTGATGTTGTATGGAATCTTGGAAGAAATTTTAAGGAGTTAATGGTGGGATAATTTGTATACAGTGTTTGCATTTATGAATATCAATAGATTCGCTTTATATATTGAGAAAAGACACATGGTTTCAAAATAAATTCAGTGTGTGAAGGGTGATGTATAAACTAGATGGTTTAACCTACAGTGGCTATCTCAAGTGAGTCTGGAGGAGGCAACACTATCAGATCTCTTCCTGTTCTTTCTAATTTGGGGGATATATAATACTAGATAGCTTTATGACATTTTTACTATTTTCATTTCCCAGCCCTTCCAAATTCTTTTGGAAAAGAACCATCTTTACTCATATTGATCTAAGAACACAGAGAATAGGCCAGGAATACCATGAACTCATGAGTATCCTCTCTAGTCTAGATGATAATAAGGAGAAGACAAAACTTGTCCTCTGGGAGCTGGTATTTTTTGGATGCTTGATTTCTGCAGGGCAAAGTCCAAGATTGCATTGAAGGACTTGGGAATCAGAGATCAGTTTACAAAGCTGATCTGTGAATCTTGTTATTTCTAGAAATCAGTGGGAGATTGTGGCAATCAACATGTTTTTTATCATCTTACCATGGCATCTTCCACTCAGATAAAAACACCCAAGTGGCTTGATTAATAATATAGTAATTCTAACCATAATGATTGAATTCATATTATGCAAAAAAAAAAAAAAAATATCTCAACAATGCCATGTAGGACCTTCATGTTATATCTGCATCAGCCCAATATTTATTTGCTCCATTAATACCCAATTGCCAATAGGGTGCTCTGCTGAGGAAAATATATTTCATCAGGAAAAAAAGGCCACAGGCTTGTCTAATAGGAATGAAAGTAATTATCCCAATAGATGAATTATTGAAATGGCATCTCCTCAAGTCACCCTTTATGGTAACTCACAGTACATTAAAAAACTGCTAACATTGGTACAAGGCTTCTACAGATGATCACTAGCCAGATTGAAAGTTTTCCCTTATGTGCCTCATGATAAAATTAGTTACAGCGGTCATCGGTTGTGGCCTTGACATGCTCCATCAACATTCATGGAAATGCAACTTTCACTATTGAGCAGTTGCATTCTGCTTTGTCACTAATTTCCTAGTGAATTATCCCTCAGGTCACATTACCCACACTAATAGCCACTCCATCAGACCTTACCTTTGCATTGTTCAGAGTATTCCAGGTCCTTTCTTAATCACTATACAGATTGCAACAATTTCTACTTTTCCTGTTAGACCTCACATCAGAGCTGGGCAGTAAATTACAGCTTTTCTCATACTTAATACCAAATAAAACTCCTGGTGTGACTTGACACAAGACTCTCAGACATGACTTGGGTAGATTAAAACCTTTATTGCTGACCAGAGTAAAGCCTTAACACAGTGATTGCCCACTGTGGAGCAAAGAAGTCTTTAGGTCAGTACTTCAGAACTTAAACTCATGGCTGTTTCCTCACAGTTTTCAGAATGAATAGACATTTGGCCATTCTCTAGGGATAGCCTTGGGAGGCAGCTAAGATTACGTTACATAACAATTCTTCTACCCTGAGGACTTCTGGTTCCTGCCTTATCATTTATATTTCCAATGAATAAAATTGCCTCCTAGTGTTGGTCCCAGATTCCAGATTTGTAAGCCAACAATTAAGTTGATTTATAATTATAGCTGTCAACTAGCTTGAGTTTTTCCAGTCTGGGTATGATGAAAAGAGACTTGACAACTGTGTTAGGGAAATGATGAGTATAGACAATCTATGAAAAGTTCAGCTTCAATCTAATAATAGTTTTAAAAAGGTGTTTTCTTACCTTTCATGACTATAAAACAAAATTAATTTAATGTAAGTGTCAGTATGATCAGTATAATCAGAAGCAAAGAATAATGCCGCAAGGTTTATTATTTTTAAACTCTTGTGATTTTAAGCTCTTCAAGAATTTTACCAATTTAAGTAATGTCTCATATATCTTCCTGACATTATTATTATGACATCCTTAGTAAAATGTACACCATGACAATAAAATGGAGCAAAGGTGTCAAGATGTTATTCCAGGATAAGTTTTTAGGGAAAACCATTAATTAATTCTTAAATCTCTCTCTCTCTCTCTCTCACTTCCCCCTCCCCCCTCTCCTTTTTGATATTATTGGAAATTTGTTTTTTAATTCCGTAAAATTGAATAACGTTTGTTTTCTTGATTTAAAAAAATTGTGGTATTTGGGAATTGGCAGAGAGAGTTCTCTTCCTTTTCCTTTTGTCCCTTCAATTCTTGGAAATTAAAGGAACAAATCATTAGCTGGAGTATTGTGCTCTCTAGTTCTTCCTTTTTCCTAGCCTCAGAAATGCTGTGGTTACAGATGTGTGAAAAGAGACCAATTCCCTGGGCTTATCTATGGGATTGCAGTACATCAATTAGAGTAATGACCAGAAGAACTGTTGAAAGTTGGAAGAATAAATTAGAGATACAATTCTTAGTATCTTACAGAAATCAAAGTAGTATTGCTCTTCACTCCACAGATCTTTCCGATTACCGAGAATAGCTATGATTAAATGGATGTTTAAAAAAACCCTAGGCTTTCTATTAAAATTCAGAAAACCTGCTTTTACTCTGTTGAACTAAAATGGATATTGGTACTGATTTTGGGTGATGCAGGATCAGCTCTTTGGAGAATAAGATGAATTGTTTCACGTTTCCATGTGAAGAACCAAGCACACTGACAACCAACCACTCAAGACAATACTTGAATCTGTGCATTTTTAATTTAATCTTCTTCATCAGCATACTGTTAATCTATGTAACAATGTATTCTTAAATTACTTGAGTATGTAATAGAAGTCCGATCATGATAGCAAGACTAACTATATGCATTAAATTCTTTTGGAAAGCTAGCAGCATAGTAAAAATTGTGACACTTTTCTATCTTTATAAAAATGAGGATTTAACAAGTTAATCATGTTTTGGTAACTGCCATGACATCTATAGAGCCGTGGTGGCACAGTGGTTAGAATGCAGTACTGAAGGCTACTTCTGCTGACTGCCGGCTGCCAGCAATTTGGCAGTTTGAGTCTCAGCTTTCCATCCTTCCGAAATCAGTAAAATGAGAATCCAGATTGTTGGGGGCAATATGTTGATTCTGTAAACCGCTTAGAGAGGGCTATAAAGCACGGTGAAGCAGTATATAAGTCTAAGTGCTATTGATATAGGCAAGAAATCGTTCCTACACTATCAGCTATGTAATTTTTTGTGTATTGGGTAATGGGTACACTGGTTCAAACAGTGTACTTCAAAAAGTGATCCTGAGGGACAGGATTGTCTTATTCCATATCATACCTCCTTTCAAAAAAACTGAACTTCCTAAATGTTTGGTTTAAAAATGAACTTGACCCCACTTGCTATTCTCCCACATAGTAAGGATAGTTTAGGAGTGGCAGTCTTGTGAACATGTGGCAGCATGGAAATGTTCTGGCATACCATAAATACATTACTTCCATCGACTCCCCCTAGCAATAGCAGTAGCACTTAGACTTATATACCACTTCATAGTGCTTTAGAGGCCTCTCTGAGCAGTTTAAAGAGTCATCATATTGCCCCTAACAATTTGGGTCCTCATTTTTCCGACCTCAGAAGGATGGGAGGCTGAGTCAACCTTGAACCGGTCAGAATCAAACTGCTGGCAGTATTCGCCTGCAGCACTGCACACTAACCACTGTGCCACCATGCTGCCATATATTTCTTAATCAGTTTTCCAGTCAGCAGATTAAATTGAAAACCCCAAAAAGCAATAGTAAGTATAGTTATATACTTTATACTTTAAATAGAAGGCACAGAAAAAATAAATTCAGTCTAAAATTGTGTGTCTGTATCACAGTTTGTGAGAAACACAAACACAAATTTATTTCCAAGGATTTTGTGCTGGCCATCAGCCATGCAAAGATGCAAAGTCTGAGGATAATATACCGTTGCCAGCCTGCTCCTATCTTTAACAGCAATCTGATGTTTGGAAATTAAGCAGATTTAGGATTAGAAAGCATGGAACAAAAGATCCCATTTATTGTTTTAATGCTTATCTCTGTATTTCTAGTTCTTATAATATCAATGGAAATAGCCTATGTCATCTCTGGCCTGCTCTTTGCCTTGCTAGTAGAAGAATGGGTTTGGGATTATGCCATTACTATTACAATCATTCACATCACAGTAACTTCAGCAGGTAGGTATATTGTTTATTAAATAACATTGCTTCAGAAAAACTACTGATTCCAGGGATAAAATGGAATGGAATGGAAAAAGTGTTCAATGTTTTGAATGAATACAATCTGGAGTAAAAGATGTCTTCCATTAGATGACATGAATATATGTGGGGATAGAGATGATGCATGGGTCGAGAAAGGCATGCGGTGGGAAGGTAGTTGGCAAAGTTTAGGGGAGCACATGGGAGGGTGACATCAGCTGGGAATAATGCAAGGTGATCCTTCCTTCCTTCCTTCCTTCCTTCCTTCCTTCCTTCCTTCCTTCCTTCCTTCCTTTCCTTTCCTTTCCTTTCCTTTCCTTTCCTTTCCTTCCTTTCCTTTCCTTTCCTTTCTTTCCTTTCCTTCCCTCCCTCCCTCCAGCCCAACCCAGCCCAGCCCAGCAGTTAGGTAAATGGCTGCTGCTAGGTGGAGAGAGAGAGAGAGAGAGAAAGGTTGTGAGACTGGCTGGGAAATTGTCATGGGATTTTGAAAATGAAGATTATGTGACTGCAGCAGCAGCCCAGCAGCAGCCAGTAGCACTGAAGCAGCCACAAATGCCCCAAATTTCATTCCCTAGGGAGTCACGACTCCTGGATTTTGAACACATTTTGTAAGTTATCCCATTTTTAGTTAGCTTGGTTCAACAATTGTTGCCCTATTATGCTTCATTTCACCCAGTTAAAGGTCACAGATTGGAAAGTCCATTGAGATAATTTGGATGCAAGGTTATTCTTGTGAACCAGCACAGAATTTTTGTTAATTCTGAAAGATCTGAAATATATCCCTTCCCTGAGCACATCTCAGAATGCAGTTGATTAACATTTAATAAGGGTTGAAATCTAGACCAAAAGTGCAGCCATCACCAAGCATATTTTGGGTGTAAATTCCCACTGAACAATTCTTTAAAAGGAAAGGAGAATGAGGAAACATGTAGTATCCCCAACACCTGGTTCAGAGAGGGTAATAGATGCCTAATAGGCACATACCTTGATTCATAACATTCTCATCTGCACCAGAACATGCATTTTTTAAAATATAGTTTCTAAACTGTGATAATTAACAGCAATGTACTCTATTGGGTTTTTTTTAATTTCAATTCTTTCCTAAAATTGACTTATAAGCCCAATGGTGTTATATTCATTAAGATTATTTTTTTTCTTTCCAAAGATGATGTTTGATGTTGATGTTTCTCCTAATTTCATGTAGATCATAATTTTTCATTTTACAGTAATGGCTGAATTTCCACTGATATTGCACTGGTGGGCAGCTTTAGGTATGTTTAAACAATTATGATTTTATCATTCCAAACAGTAAATCTATAATTTTGATAGTTAGGAAGCATCACTCTACTAAAACATATCATTTAAAAAAAAAAAATAGGGAAACAACTTGTCAATTCATACATCTTCACCTATCTCTGTGTTTGCAACTGTAATCTTCAGCATGATTATTCAATCATAAATCACACAAATATATATTTCTATAAAATATATTTGACATTTTATTGAATGCTAGAGCTTTGAGAACTTAAATTACATAGAAAAACAGACATACAGTACGTGTCTGGTATAAATAATATTGATGAAAAAAATGTGCTTTTCAACATCAGAATGGAAATTCTAGACTTTCATATTTGTGTTACAATATTGGATGCAAATGCATATGTCACAATGCAAATTTGATTACTTTTGGTTAATGGCTGGATGGGAAATCACCACAAAACCAAAGGCATATGGAAGTTTTAAAAATGTATAATATAATTTTATATTAATTTTTATATTATTGACAAGAAAATTACATGTTCATAGGATCTTCAGGAATTGAGCTTAGTCAGTGGGAAATATTAACTTTTTATTTTGGTTTTATTTATCTATCAAATTTTTATACCACCCATGATTCTAGAAGGTGTACAAGTAAAGCAATAAAACCATATAAAATCTGTGGTTAAAAACAAAAATAAAATTGAGTTAAAAAGAACAATTGCAAAGTTAAAAGGCAGAGGAAAAGCTTTCAAACCACCAATTCTCCCCAGGGTAGCATGACACTCCTAGACATATGTAAGTGGGGAAGTTTTGAAATTGATCCTGTGTTGTTTATCCTAAAGTCAGTACAAAATTTTTAAAAAAGATTTCGGAATAACTGCAGATAAATTATCTAAACACATAAAGATTCTGTATAAACTGTTACAAGTTTCCCACTTTGAAGTAGTGAGAGTTCTATCCTGCTAAGATGTTGTGTGTTCTCAGGAAAAAAAAATACTAAATCCAAACATCAGATACTTCATGTTCCTGAACCTGAAAAGAAAGGGAGAAAAAAAAAACCTCCTTAAAAACAGAAAACAGCAATAGCCTAAGTAAGAAACATATTTCTATCCATTACAACAAACTAATGTCTATATGCATTACTAACAGTATGTACATTAATACAGATTTTTTTCTTTCTTTCTATATAGGTTCTGGCCTCATTTTAATGATTTGCAGTGGTCAATGTTTGGCTTTTTACCTGTTCAAGAACAATTTTATTTATCCTATTCTTGATGATTTCTGAAATATTTTGTTCAGTGTCTCCATTATCTTTTTAACAAAACATGTTTGTATCAGCATGTAATCTTTTGAAGAGCAGAATCAGAAACACTTCCATTACCTATTATTATTGGTGCTATTCAGATTTTTGTTTTGATATTCTGTAAATGTTCAATTTAGCTTAATAGGTTTTTTTCTTGATAAAAGTTGGAAAGAAATAGAAAGAATATTTAAAGATAGTCCTGCTCCAGCACATAATAATGAATTTAATCTGTGATTAATTAATTAATTAATTTGTTTATATCCCATCATTATTATTTGTATAAATAGCTCAAAGCAGTGAACATACCTAACACTGATTCCTCCTTCTATTTTCCACTGAGCAACAACCCTATGAGGAGAGTTGGGTTGAGAGAGAATGACTGGTCCAAAGTCACCCAGCTGGCTTTTATACCTAAGTGGGGAATAGAACTCACAGTTTCTCAGTTTTTAGTCTAGGGCAGGGCTGTCAAACTCTCAACCCACAGTCCAGATACGTCATGTGCTGGCCACGCCCATGCCTGGTTTAGCGAAGGGGAAACAGTCCCAATATGTCAGGTGATGCCGCCATGACAACGTGAGTTTGACACCCCTAGTCTAGGGCCTTAACCACTTGACCAAATTAATTGATAGATTACTATGAATGTTCTTACCATATTTGGGGGGAAACATGTTCTGTGAATGTGCGTGGGTGTGGGTGTGTGGGTGAGTGAGTGGGTGTAGGAAATTAATATTGACAAATTCACATTAGAATGTGTTAGGGGTGTGGCCATGTTCTAAAGTAAAGATTTTACAACGGTGCAGATCTTTACCGTAGCCATTAAAATATATATTAATATAAATTCAGATGTTGTGGTTCCTTTATTAATACGGTAGGTCTCTGCACCCTACTATATAAGTAATAATTAATAAAACTGTGATGATATCTCAGATATTATTTATTTACTTACTTACTTTATTTTTTATCCCACTTTTATTATTTTTTTAAATAATTCAAGGTGGTAAACATACATAATACTCAATAACAGTAACAGAGTTGGAAGGGACCTTGGAGGTCATCTAGTCCGACCCCCTGCTCACGCAGGAGACCTGTACTAGGGATTCAAACCGCCGAACTGCCGACCTTTCTGATCGACAAGCTCAGTGTCTTAGCCACTAAGCCACCTAGTCAGACACCTACTCCTTCCTCCTCATATTTTCCCAGTGGGTTGTGGAAGGAGGGAGAGAGGGAGAGAGACTGGTTCAAGTCAACCAGCTGATTTACATGCCTATGGTGAGACTAGAACTCATAATTTCCCAGTTTCCAGCCTTAAGCACTAGACCAAAACCTATAGTTCAGGTGTAAACCACATGCTCTACATTCAAAAAATTCACATTCAATCTCTTTTATTCATATTTTAAAATAATTAAATAAAAAAATAAAGGAATGGAATTATTAGAAATTGGAAAAAACTCTACCTAAGCTATTGGAGATCAGTGCTAAACAGAATATATTGGACATTGCAGACATTTAGTCTGGGAAAAGAAAACACCACATTCTACAGATTTCAAAAAATCTTGTGGAAACAGGCACAATCTAGCCAAATAAGCAATTTATTACATTGTTAAAGCAATCAATATTATTCACAGTTTATTTTTCCCATTAGTGAATCCAAAGCAATTATGCATTTATATTTATAGTGTTATTCACTTTTTCCTCTCTTTATGGGGGCACTTCAAGTAACTTATAAAATCTAAGAGTGATCAAAATAGCAGTAAGAATTCACAATAATTATACCATAAAACATGCAATAGGCATTACATTAATTGGAAAAAGCACCTGCTCCCAAATGTATAACAAAATCGGGAATGAGAAAAGTGTTTTCCAGAACTAGAAGAATTTCGTAACAACAATAGATAAGCAACTATTATTGTCCACAAACGGCAGGGGTGTCAAGCTCAAGGCCCGGGTGCTTAGAACTGAGCCCACCCTGGAAACAATGAAGGACTGGCCCATGGTGCCTCTGCCAATGAAAATGGAGCTCAGGAGGATCATGCACAGCTCACCCAGCTTCCGTTTTTGGCTGAGACGCGTGGCCTCCCTGACCTCCATTTTCACTGGCAGGGGGCTGCAGGAGGCCATCACTGGTCATGCCCACCCTGGCCATGCCTCCGGCCACGCCTCACCCAGCCCTCCAAGGTCAAACATAACCCTGATGTGAAGCCCTCAATGAAATTGAGTTTGACACACCTGGCATATGGGTTGCAATGCAGAAAGCTATAAAGAAGCAACTTTGACTGGATATAGAGTGTAGGTGTGCAAAAGAAAGCAAGGCTGTTGCACATTTATATACAAAAGGAAATCCCTCAGGCATTTTTGGCATGGAAAGCTAAATCTGAATTTTGCTTTCTAAGGAATAATTAAAGGAATAATGAGGCAAGGTGTTTGGTACCTTTGAGTCATTGTTGACTCTTTAATCAATCCCTGCAGTTTTTCCTGGGAAGATTTTAGAAATAGTTTGCCATTGCTATGCAAGATGGGACTAGAACTCACAATCTCCTGATTTCTAGCCTGATGCCTTAGCAACTACACCAAACTGGCTCTCAGTTAAAGGAATACAAGATCTCTTATCTATGACTTATACCAGGGGTGTCAAACTCATGGCCCATGGGTCAGATGTGTCATGCACTGGCCACCCCTAACCCTGGTTTAGTGAAGAGGAAAAAAATTGTAATACGTCACATGACGACAACAAGACGATGTGAGTTTGACATCCCTGACTTATATTATTCAAAGGGGGCTTTTTTTTTAAAAAAAGATAGAAATTCAAACAAGTAAGTATATGATAAGTGTATCAAACTTGTATTATATAGACAAATATAAGGAGCTATATGAATTGGACCACAATTCATTTAATAGATAAATGGTTCACAAACACACAGACAAAAATAAAGAAAGAAAGAAAAGATTTTAGATAGTCAAAGAATGCTTGCAAACAATATGAAGGATATTATTCAGAACCATTTTTAAAACCGATACAATTCTTCATCAGATGTGTTTAACACAGGTCAATTTATAACCTTTTAAAACTTGCTTTTTAAATAATAAATGTCCCACTGGATAATCAAAATGTCTCAATTTTATTATACACAGAAATCCAGCCTTTTAAAAACCGTTCAGTTTAACTGCAGAGCACTTTTTAATAATATGTTAAAGGCCCAATAAAATACAGGAATTAAATATGTATCTGAACTCTTCCTTATGTATATAAAATGCCAGGTAAACATAGAATCCTATCTATTCGTTCCCTGAAAATAAAATGGGTCAGTAATTTAATTACAAAAGACATTGACCTTAAAAACAACCCATCTAATTAGTTATAGTTAGAAGAATCCATTGACCTTGAGGTCAACCTATCTGCCTGCAGCAGGGTGCTGTTAGGATTAATGAAGATATGATGTTTATTACTTTGAGCTCTTAATTAATGCGTGTAGAACTTTGGTACTTTGGGATATGTATCTGGACTGCAAAATCCCAGATGACCATTAGCTTGTATCATGTCTTGCCATTTGAGATGGAAGAACATGACAATTTCTATCTGTGGATATTTTTTCTCCACTCTTTGGGCTGCTTATTGTACTGCAGTACCTTATAAAAGATGTCTTTCCTTAACATGTAGCAATATAAGCCAATTCACTACAATACTGATCTGAGTAATAGTTCCTCTTGGTGGATTGTGGCAACTTTTCCCAGTGACAATTCTCTTTTCCATCTCCACATTTACAGAGTAAGAATTTTGTTTATGGGATTATGAATATGATTTGTTGGAAGCTTTTAGAATTGTTTACTTCATAAAACTTCTAGAACTGCAAATATCGAGATAATCAATAGGTGGCAACACAGGAAAGTCTAATTCTTTGGCTCCATCTGGTGGTCATCTGAATTTTACAATCCAGATCTGATCGCTTCAAAGCTAAGGCAGCGATTTTCTATAAAATCATACAGGAAAAAATTCAGATTGAATTTATGTATAATATAGGATTGCACCATTGGTGCTAAACAAGAACAGAAGACTTGAAATGGCACATATAACTATGTACATAATTCCAATTATTTGTCCCACAGTTTAAATATGTATGTAGTTTTATAGACCTTTAATTGATTAGATTATTGCTCAAGTTAATCCATGAGTTAAGCAGGTACTTATTTTTAGCAAGAGCATCTTTATTTTTTAATCAGCAGCTTCACTAGTATTGTTGTGTAGACTCAGAGCTGATATTGCTTTCAAATTCCAGTTTTAACATGAGAAGTGTAAGTACTGTACTTTAGCTAATTTGCAACCAATGATTTAATACATTAAACAGCTAAGGACTATAGAAGCAGTCACAAGGATCATCTAGTCCAATCCTCTCCAACATGTAGGAAAATCAATTAAACTATTTTTGAGAGGTGGCATGCAAACTTTTCTTCATTGTTGTTGTTACTGGATATGTAAATTTAATAACACCTTAAAAGTTGTACTTGAGAATAAAGGTTGAAACAGTGAAAAAATATAAATTTTTATCAACATCAATAAGAATGTTTCAAGTCAAGTTACAAAGGGACAAGAGAATTCTTGAATGGACCATTCTCATTAAATACATGTACTCTCTATGATCATGGAACAGTCATTAAAAAGCACACCTTGAGCAGATGAATGATGGATGACAACTTCAACTTTGATGAATGATAATGATAAATTCTGAGGTGCTGAGATAACCCAGCAATCCAGTTGAGGTAATCCAGCATTTCTTGAGAGCTGGAGAGAAGTCCAAAGTTCCATCTTTTACTCCAACAACATTCATCTTTAAACAAGAAGAGATCCTGTACGGAAGATCTGAAAGATTAAGAAAGAGAATATGAAATGCTCATGCTGCTAAAATAAAGTTTTTAAATGTACAAGAACTCTCCAATCTTATTAGGTGGTATTCACTGAGCTTGGTCTGGTGCTGTATAAAAGATTCCTA